GCCGTTTTCCTGTATGGCAGTCTCGCCTGTCTGTGCCGTGGCATATTCACTCATTGAGTGCGAGCATCCTTCTCCCTATCTTTCAGCAGTGTTCTAAAGAGAGACCCATTTTTTAAGATGCTCTCCCTGCAAGCTCTTCTTGTCTCTGCACGTTTCTCCGCAAAAGGCACAAAGCAAGGTCTTCCAAGGTTTTCTCACAACACAAACACGATTTGGTCGATGACCTTGAGCTAAAAAGAAACGCCAGAGAGCGGTTTCTGGAGACAAGAAAAGTTCGTTCGAGGCTTTACGACATACAACATACGCATACTTCGATTTCATTTCCCAGTGAGAACTCCCCATCAGCCGGGCTAGGCTCGAAAGTAACCTATCACGCATCAGTACATGGCACTCCCGCAAATTCATAAAGGAGCGGAGGTACGGACTCGAGGTATCGACTCGTGCCTCCCTGCGAAGATCCTCTGCTCACCAGTTTGGCTCTCCGGCTTTCCAGGTCGAAAACTTGCGCTACTCGGGGGCAGGCCCCTCCCAAAGCAAAGCGACCCCTGTTGTTGGGTTATCAATGCCAATCCTTCCACCCAAAAATGAGACGAGTCGATAGTTCGATGCGCCTTGATTTTCAGTTTAGTTGTTTACCGTCAATTGGAGAAAAAGTAAGAGCCGATCCCCTCTGATGAATTTCCGCAAGTTTCCTAGCAAACGTTCCAGGTCTTGTTGGCAGGGGCCTGCATTTTTCAGCTCATTGTCACACGTAAGATTACCTTATTTCCAAATGCAGCAATACGCCTTGTTACTTACACGATTTTCTTCAGTGTTGCACCAGTGTGCTTGACCTTGTTCCCGCTTGCCGCGACTTTTCAGTCCCCAAACGCCTAACAAAAAATAAGGGGCACAGCCTTATTAGGGCCCATGCTTTTTAATATGGCCTGGTCCTAGCACATTTTCCGTCTTGTGTGCTGCGTTTACCACGAACAAGAGGAGGTTTATATCAGGGTTCTTACAGAATTGACGTCCTTTGGATAGAAATATCGTGAAGACATATCTTACAAAGTTTTCCCACGACACTGTTAGAACAAAGTACATGCATGAATTGCCGTCTGCCTTCTCGTCGTCGGAGGCCGTTGCAGCCAGCGTTGGGACAGTTGTAGTTGTACGCAAGGTGACATCTTTTTCTTCCGGATTCGGCAACTTTTAGTGCTAAAGCAGAACGATCTTGCGGGGAAAGAGCCCTAAAATGTACTGTATTTTTCTTACTTCTGCCCATCCGCCAGCGCACAGCGCATTTCCTGCCAACGCAATGGAGCTGTGCCCCATTATTCGCCGCGGAACAGGGTGGTGCACGCCACGCACTGGGCGCCTCCTGACCTGATCACCCAGCCAGAATCCACCAGGCAAGAAGAGGTGTGGGGCAGAGGGAAACATGCTGTCTCCACCCAACAATTCTCACCTTTCAGAATTTGGTGGCTCTCGAGGCTCTCTCCTACATTCTCTTCGTCTCGTCCATCCGTGTGGGTAAATGTGGGGCAGACTGTTATTATCCCTTTCTCGCTCGTGCGGCTGGCCTGGGCGCTACCAAATTAGTCTATTGAAAGCTTTTGCAGCACTAGAACCGCTAGCCTCATTTGTTCATTTTTCGTGATGCGCTTCTCATTTCCTTTTCAAAGGCAACACATCCATTATCACCAGCGCTGGTTTTCGGCGGACGGGGCTCGACAAACCCCCGGCCGGATACTTTATCTCAAGTTTCCAGCTGCTTTTCCTCACTCGTCTGGTCCAGGGCCGAATAGAATGCTCGAGCCAAGGCGATCGACAATTTGTCTTTTTCTCTCTCTTTTCCACAGCAGCGGACAGGGCAAGGATTGTCGCCACGGTTAGCACGCCGCCATCCGGTCCGGAGTGACGGGCGGCCACACGATACGAAATTCACGACAGCCAAGTCTGTTGTGGCCTCGATGGGCGAACTTTACTTCTCACTGACGTGCTATCTGGCAGTCAAATCGGCGTTTGTGACCTAAACGGAAGCTGACGGGGTTCGGATGAGAGACACACCAGGGTAGACAGAAGAGAAATAGTTTTCCATTTGTCGAAGAAAGAATAAATAAATGAGAGAGTAGACAGAGACAGCGACAAGGAACCTAGCCCCATCATTGCACGACGGCTGCAACGCTACTTCCTTGGCTGAAGAAAGATAGTGCCAGGTAAGGTACTCAAACTCAGAGCGAATGGGGGGTCCACTGACAAAAAGGAACGATGCAAGGGAGCGTACGTGACAACGGCAGGAGCCACCAACGACTGAATCTCTTTGCAAAACGAAAGAGAAGGGGCATATGTGTGCTGTGTCTCGGTGGCTTTGTCTCCTTTTGCTTGGCAGTGTCCTCCGCCAAAGACTTCCCTCCTTCACGAACACACTTCTCAGGATTCGAGGTCTAAAAGACACACCGTGAGGGCTGGAAGAAAAAGAAAAGAAAAAGAGACAGCGCCGGCCAAATATGAGTGGGTCCCAGTCGCGCGGACGCACTCAACTGGGGATTCTGTGGCCAATCATAGCTGACGCCCCTCCCTGGTGAACTCCTTTTCGTTTTACGACCACTCCACACACACCTCATTCATTCTCTTCCAGTCTGCCAATGTCTTTCGTGGCCGGTATTAACCTCTCCTCTCGTCAGTCTTTCCTCTGGAAATAGGTACTTTTGCGGTACGGATACCTTTGAACCCTTGCACCTAGTCTCCTGCAAAAGTATACCCAGTAGTTCTGTGTCCTCCGTATGAATTGCTCAAAAAACAGACTCTGCTTTCCACGGCACACAGGCCCCTGGTATCCTTGACAGCGACGCAAAGTATTCCGGCGTATGCTATTTGCGCAGGCTTGATTTCGTCCTCGTCCAATCTTGTCTTGCTCTAACCCATTTAAGAAAAGCCAATCCAACAACCTCTCGTCTCTTTTGCTCCATCAAATCGAATGAATCCCCGTTGTAGCTTCCCTTTTTTCCTTTCCACTGCTCCTTCTCGGCGACGATTGTGTCTGCCAGATCTACCCGTTTGCTCTTTCCTTTCTCTATCTTGGTCCTGCCGTTCTCTCATTTCCTATGTCTTGACTGCTAGCGGCTCCTTCCTCTTATACAGCAACCTTGTCACAAACACCTGTGCATTTCTTCCCACTAGCGCATTCTTCCCAGCCAGCGTCAATATCCAGTCTCGTTCCACCCGCTGCGCGCCTTTCGTTCCTTCCATTCGGGGGGCGGATTGCTTCGAAAAGAACCAAGCCCCCTTTTATGTTGTCTGTCATCCATTCCACACCTGCTAATAGTCACCAAAAACCATGCAGTCTGGGCTGCATCGCTCTTACCCAGTCTCTCTGGATCCCTTCCCGTCCACAACAACGGGGTCCTACTTTGAAAGCTTAATACTTTCTTTTTTATGTCTTTTCCTGTGGCCGTCGTTGCATCAAGGCTGGGCAAGTGGGCGTTCTCTTTTTTACTCCTCGCTCCAAACGTCTCTCCATTTGTTGTCCTTGGATTTCCCTTCGCTGTGCGAGGCTTGCCTTTGTTTTCTTTCTCCTCAAAGAAGCGTAAGGTGCTCCGCTTTTTTCTCTGCTAATGTATTTATCGCTTTAAAGAGGGGTGTGCATGTCGTACCCAGTGTGGTATTTTTTGGAGCTAAGAATAGGAGGCAGGCGCGACGCAAATCGCCCAGTAGCATCTGCGCACATTCCTCCTCTCAAGCCTCTGTTCAGTTTGCCAGTCGTTCCTGCACTTTCTGCTCTCAAACGCGTCCCAGAGCTGCTGCCTCATTTGCGTGCGTATATGTACAATGTTTACGCCAATGTTTGGATCAGGTTGGAGTGTTTGTGAAGAATAGAGTAAGAGGCTTTTGAGGTTTGGTCGCTACTTCCTCTTTCAGGTGTTAGTGCTCGTGATGTCTGCCGGGCAGCAGTCCTACGTGATTGACCAGCCGCCACCAACCTCCGCCTTACCAACCGGTCGCAAGACGTGCACCCCTAAGACCAGCGCCTCCCAAACTAGGCACTTTGTTTAGCTCGCTCCTTCGTTCTTGCGTTGCCGGTTTATCCTTACCAGCTTCTTTTCCCTTTCCACGCCGCTCGTTTTTTCATTTCAATGCTCGTCAACAACCTTGCGCTTTCACTTTGTTCCCCTTGTCCTGGGCTGTTCCTTCCCTCTCCGTGCGAACGTGTCCCCCACCCACTTCCCCGGCGCGTGCCACAAAACCAAACTTGCCTCCCTCCCTCTTTCCTCAAAAGAGAACAGCGCTTTCCCTCAAATAAGTAATTTACTCCCCCCAGCTCTCGACCCCTTCTTACTCTTTTCTGCTTTCTTTCTGTCTCAAAGAGGTCGAAAACTTCCCTAAAGCACCTCGCATCTGAACAACACAAAAACAAAGCCACACGAGATCCATTTGTATTTCAACTTCTTTTTCCTTTCAGGTTCCCCTGTCTCGCATTCTCTTCTCATTTTCGTCCCTTTGCCGCTGCACAGTGATAATCTGGAAACGCACTGAGCGTGTCGCGCCGCAGATAAAAAGAGGAACTTCCCAAAACAGGACAAGACTTCCCACCAGGCTCGATTCAGGCTGGGCCAGAGTTCTGCGACGGCAAGCATAACACAGCACGGGCAAGCCCTTCAGCAGCCCAAAGCCAGATTCAGCATAGACCCGTCACAACGGCTCTAACCAACATCTCTCCACTGCAACTACATCTCCAGTGTTGATCTTTCCCTCCTGTTTTGCCTCTCTTCTTCCCTTTTTAACCTTTTTTTTGCTTCCCGTTTCGTGATACATCGCGCACGGCTTGTGACGCTTCCTTCATTGTCTGCTTCTCGCTTTTCTTCCTTCCTATCCCTCTTTATCCTGCCCTACCTCCCTACGAGTCGACCTCCTCCTTCGTTTGCACTTGCTTTTCTCCTCGACTGCTGTACGCGCCGTCGCAAAGCTCTCTGTTCGCTTTTCTCCCTTATTCTCTTTGAATTCCTATTTGCTTCGCCATAATGGCCGACATCGTGGATCAGCACGACCAGGCTACGCCTACCGACCTCGAGGAGTCCCAGTCTGTTGGTAACGGCAATGCTGGGGCCGAGAGCCGTGGCACCAAACGCCCACGCCCAAGCGCAGTCGACGACGACGACGACGATGATGAGAAAGGCGGCCGCGAGCGTCGCAAGATCGAGATCAAGTTCATCAGTGATAAGTCTCGTCGTCACATCACATTCTCGAAGCGGAAGGCTGGTATTATGAAGAAGGTATGTCTGCGCGCCTAGCGTCCTCCTTTCTCTTTGAGTCTGTGTTTGCTTCTTTCTGGCTTCATGGTCACTGGCGTTCGCTCTGGAGGTCCTCTTCCTCGTCCTTGCCCTGCTACTCTTTTGCTAACTATAGTTGCTTTCTTTCCAGGCATACGAGCTTTCTGTCCTCACCGGCACCCAAGTCCTGTTGCTTGTTGTCTCAGAAACTGGCCTCGTGTACACTTTCACCACACCGAAGTTGCAACCTCTCGTCACTAAGGCTGAGGGGAAGAACCTCATTCAGGTGAGTCAACACATCTGCTCGAAAGACTATCAGCTGGACAGACAAGGCCGACGCAGGTGGAACAAGCCACCGGCTGTATATAATTGTGCTTTGTTCACCTGCATGGCTATGCCGAGTCTTGCGCCCAGCGTCGTAATGAATGTTCTTTTTTTCCATGCTGACAAGATTATCTACAGGCCTGCCTCAACGCCCCCGAACCCACGACCGCCGGCGATAACGGCGTTGACGAGCCCAACCAGGTCGACAGCCCTGAGGAGTCTGGCTCCGGCCACCTCGCGTCACAGCAGAACCGTGGTCTACCCCAGAGCGCACATATGGCCCCCGGATATATGCCGAACGTGTCTATGGACCCGAACCAGGCTCTGGCATATGGCAATTACGTTCAGCGTAACAACCAGTACGCTCTGCCGCAGCATTCGGCCCACCAATCATAAGCGGGTCATACAGACGACACGGTGCCGTTGTTTAACATCTTTGGCTTCTCAACTTTCTCTTGGCTGTTGAGTCGCTACGACCGCTGCGCGGTGCGTGTATCGGGCCTCGCTCCATTGACGCCCTGATTGATGTTTGTCACCAGAACATCATTTCAATATTACACCTCACTTTGTCGTCGCCCTCCTGTCCTCCATGGACCTTTGTTCTGCTGCGCCGATACCCAGCATATAATGCATTTTCCCTTTCCTGATTTGCGAGGCCCTTGGTGGTGGTTCGGCGTTTTCTCAGCTGTTCTTGCATGTTTTCACTCATTGTTTTTACCTTTTACCTTTCACCTACTGTCAATTATTTCCATACGCGACAGGGATTACTTTATTGACTTGACTTTAATCAAAGTTTCTTTGCGTTTCGTTTCGGTGTTGTTGCTGTTACGGTTGTGGCTTCTATCCTTTTGCATCGTTCTTTTTCTCCCACCTTCGTGCATAGCACGGTAGGGAAAGAGGCCGGTCTATTTACCTTTGCAGCACCTTGTTTTCTGTACGTTCGCTACAGCTTTGTCGTCTGCTTTATGATTCCTTGCTCCACCCCTTCCCCCCCGGTGCCGGCGTGTACCATGTATTCTGTCCTCCAAAAAAGATACTCAGTTTTCGAAATGCAATACCGTTTAGGAGAAAATGGAAGCCAGACGCAAATGATTCTCGTGCTCATCCTAACCAACCGTAGTTACTGAATCAACGTTTATGGAATGTATTCTATCGTATATCGTTCGACGCTTACTTTTAGTTCGTTGCACATCGTGAGTAGCACGCGTCATGGCATTTCGCTGTCACTAAGCCGAGTAGAGTTTCGCCATCCGGTCTTCCTGCCTGGCTGGTTTATGGCCTCTCGAGCGATGCTTATGCGTTTATCACGCACCATTCTGTTGATATGAAAGGCCACATTGACCCCATGGCGATTAAAACTGATGCCAGGTGAAGCACTGTCACAGGGATGGGGTATTATGTCTTCCATAGGAGTCATGGTAGTATCAGCATTAATTGCTGCTGTACAATAGTAGCACCATCCTAAGATACAAGATCCTATGACGATCTCGTCTGTGGCGATGACTTTGATGCTTAGAAGTTGTCCCTTCTAGTATCTGCCTTCATTACTACTTTGTTCGCTTAACAGGACTCAAAGTTCCACCAACCTCGGCATGGGGTAGAAAGCTATGCAGTGGGAAAGGAGATGTTGAGACGGGCTGTCAACAGTAGTCGTGCGGGTAATCATGACTCTGGTGATCTGTTTCTGGAAAAAGAGGATGAAAATGGTCTAATAATGACGAATAAAGCGACTCTAACACGTACATGGTCACTTTGCTTTTGTCATTGACATTTCAAGGTTTCGATGGTAGTCGTTTGTTTGTCGAGCAAATGAATTACTGCTTTTAGACGTGTAAGTTGGAGAAAATTACCCAAACAAGACAGGCCTTCCTCATCCGGAAGGTCGCATGTTTTAACAAGTGGTCTCTAATTCTTGTAAGGTCATTTAATCCTGTTCCCGAGGCCTTGTCTGCTATAATATGCCCCTTGCGTATTTCCGGGAAACAAATCAGATCTCTAATGTTTGCTTTGATGACGGACGGCCACAGGTCGTCCCCTGTTCCGGGGTGTTGGCTCGCGTCTTTTCTTTTTCCATGGTCGGGGCCAGAGCCCCAGCCCTGGTTGGTGAGTACACTCCGTAGTTGGGCGTCACCTCGCTCTTTGCCCTGCGGAGGCTAGACCCAACGATTGATCCTGCCATCGGCCCCGTCCACATCGATACCAAAGTTGGTTAACGAACGCAGTCGCGTTTTTGTGTCGAAAATGGAAAAGGCCAGCTAAACTGGAATGAGCATAATCAGAGTCCATGCGGACAGGAAGCAACCTCCGCTAGCCGTCATGGGCAAGTCGTCTTTCTCTCGGGCACATCCGTTCGGCAAAGTCGCCTTATTTTTGGGCTACGGTGCGGTTGATGCTTTCGGTGTGGCCTGGATTGGAAACGTGGCTGCCGGGTTCCAAGGCTTTATTGACGCCGGAGCCTCTGCCAATAAAGAGGAGGATCACCCGGCATAGCTACACTCAGCGCGAGTTGGTTCTTCCTCGATTACCACCTGAAATGACGGTAAGCTCGAGGGAGATAAATGTATGGTTTCGTAGATAGGTCAAGGAAAGTGACTGTCGTCGATAATGATAATTGAATTATTCACTTCGATTTCATACAATACCCCCTCTCGACTTTTTGCAAAGGGCGCCCTAAATCATAGGAGAGGAGACGCACAAATATTGGCAATCATGCATTCCCGGCCAGTTCTTGCTTCTCTGCTTAATTGTTGGTAACTTAATGTTTCGTTTTGCCCTGCATTTTGAAAGTTACCGCCACGGGTGCCGCCAGCCCCAATCTCCAAAGACGGCTGTACCAAAGTCCGACGAGGGTTACATGCAGCTCCCCCAGTAGCTGGTTCCAGGGACTCCGTAGTGGTTGCTTTTGCGCATGAGTTGAGCACATTTGCGTGCATTTCTGCACGGCACAGAAGCAGACTTGTCACTAGCGCCACCACCCTACGGCACAAAAACGGATGGGGCAAGTACCTGTACGTTCGAGATCCGGTTAAGAGCATCAGCGTGCGTGAGGAAAATTGATTGTTTGAATATACTCTGTCGATACCGTAGCAAAGGATATAATAACTAGCAAACCAAAAAAAGGTAAATAAAGAAACGCCTGATATCCCTTAAACGCCGGCCGTCTTATATAACTCCATTCGTAACATTCGTTTATTTGTTCAGAGATCATCTTGGACGCAGGAGATGCAAACCACCGAGCCGCAGAGGATAGGGCCTGGCGATGGCTCGACAACTTGTGCTAGTTTGTTGCGCAAACGGTTGCCTGAATCGACGTCACTCGATGCTTTGGTGACGCAGTGACTCCTCGGTGGTCTCTCGGGACGGCCTTTGTGACATGTCGTTTTAGTGTCCCAGTGCGGCTTCGTATCGGTTGTGGCCGTTTAGTGCTCCATGAGCACAATGTAGCGGCCGACCAGCAGGCTGCCCAGGAACGTGCCGCCGAGCACCGACATGAAGTAGCCCACGTTCATGGACATGACTGCAATCATCAGCAGGTAACCGACGCCGGCCAGCAGCGTGTCGAGGAGGGCGCGCAGCGGGTCGACGGACAGGCGCCAGGGCCGCACATGGGTGTGGCGCTTCTTGAGGACCATGACGTCCTCCTCGATGCCGTTCTCGGACAGTATCATGCGCTTGGCGTCCGAGTCCCGGGAGATTTGCTGCGACAGTACAGGCTTGCCAGGGACGACAACGTAGCGGCGCTCGAGCTCGGCGTCGAGCCAGCGGGACTCCGCGCGGGCCTTGAAGGCGAGCAGACCGCGGAAGAGCGCGGCGAGCATAATCAAAAAGATACAGGTGCCGGCGTAGGAGCCGACGGAGCTCGGGGTCCAGGTAAGTGAGTAGAGAGGGGTGTCGGTGGCGGTGAAAAAGACGGACATCATAGTCATCATCGTGGTGTTGGAACTGCCCATGCCCGAGCCCGAGCCGCCCATGTCCATGCCCATCATCTTGCCGGTTGGTTTGTGGAGGAAGTCGTTGGGAGATGAAAAGGAGAAGAGAGAGAACGGGCAACGACTGTACAGAGGAAGAAGCGATGCCCTTTTCAAGGAGCCTGGGCTGTTATTGCTGGTGACGAAAAGAGAGTTGACGGGGATCCAGCTTGGTGTGAGGATAAGAATAAGACTGCGCTCGCGCGTTCTAGAACCGAAAAGAGCGTCGTATGGTTTGCTTCCGCTGCAGGTGCAATATGCTCTCGTAAAAAGTAGGAGGTGAGTAGAGTGGCTTTGGCGACAGATAAAGTGAATCCGTTTAGGCTGCGCGAAGCAAGCGTGCTTGGCGATTCGTGACTGCGCTGGAAGGAGCGACCGAGGGGACGGGTCGGCGACAACGAAGCGACAGGGCAAGGCAACGAGAAGTACAAGTAAACAGTGGAAAACAAAGATCACGAAGTCGAAACGTGGCGAGAATAAAAGAACAACACGATGGGATGCCAAAAAACCTGGGACGGGAGTCTATTTGAAGGGCCTTCCAGCCTTTTGCTGTTGCTGGCCGCCGCTTTGTCCCACACTGCGGGCAAAGTGAGCAAGTTTACGGAGCACAAACCAACACCAGCGCCAAAACCTGACGGTTGTTAGAGACCGCTCGTCCCGGCAAGAGCAACGAGAAGGGCGGGGTGGGATCCTTCCAAAAGCGGCAAAAAAACGTGCTCATACTTTTACGTGGACTGTTTCCTAGTTCAACGCCAGGCTGTGAATTGTCGACAGGCCGCCCACTGTGGCTCTTTCCTTGCGTCTGCACATACAGCTGTGGATTCCAGTCCCCTCTTGCCTTTCTTGGACACTCGATGTGCAGTTGATGCTTTTAATGTATCTTGGGACGTAAGATACAGAGGGACATTGTACCTTATGAGGGCCTGCGACGTTGGTATTTCCTTCTCCAAAACGGTCGCAGACAATTACAATGTCAACCCTGTCAGTCGTCTTTCATTCCACCGGCCGCCCCATTGCTCCTTCCTTCTCCTTCTGGCTGTTGTCTCGCCAAGCTGCCGCAAATCCATTCGAAACAGAGCGCAAGTTTGCAGGAAGGCACAGCCGACAAAACCGTAACATGCTCACCTTATTCACTTCTCAATCCTCCATCGCCTTGGCACCCAGACGCCAACAGCGATCACGCATTAAGGCCTGGACCAACTCGGTGGGGTGCCAATTGCACGGCACAGGACGTAACCCTCCTTCCTGCCATTTTGCAAATGACAAAACTGTTGCTGACAACGGATGTACCTCTACTTTCGGTTGTGGGCAACGCTGCGAGTTTGCCTGCGAGTTTGCATACCTGGTGTACTTGATGATGATTGTGTCTCTTGTGTGTCCTATGTTGATGACAATGTTGCTTGAGGAGATTAATCAATCAACAGACGGTCACCTTCAAATGCACGGATGGTATCACAAGGCTCGTATTAAAGACCGGGGCTGTGAGGCTCGAAAAAACACAGAGCGGGCCAGTCTCGGAGAATACAAATAAATGGCTTTTCATATCGTCTTGGTTGTCTTGCGGAGTGAAGGGAACGTGTCCCTGGATGCTGAGACAGAATGAGCGAGTTTTCCACCCGTCAGGGACATTTGATGATGTTTCATTCATCTAGTTGCATTCTATGCAGCTGTCGGAACGTGGTGAGATCTATTGTGGTACGACGTACACTCCGATGTCATGTTCCCATTGCGATTCTTGCTGTGCGTCGCCAGGGGGGTAGACCTCCGCATTGGTAGCCGTACGACATATGGACCTGATGCACATTATGTCGGCCAAGACACTGTGCATGTTTGTTTCGGACTTTTGTACTTTGGTTCTCGTCCGGCACAAGCTGGTGCTAGTTAACATAAAAGGCTTTATTGAGAAAGCAGGAAACAATACGAATAAGATATATAGCAAGACAAATTGGTAGAAGCGAAAAGAGGAACCTTGGTGCGAAAGAATAGAATCACAGCAGAAAAAAATCACAAGTAGGACACCGGCAAACTAAGAGACGAAAACCTGGACAAGAGTAGAAACACAACCTGGCATGAATGACAGCCGTGAAAGAAAACAGAAAAAAAAGAGATAATTAGACGACGACGAGACGTCTCGTTCCCGTGCCCCAGCCATACCTGCCGGATGCTTTTGTAGAAATACATGGGCAGTTGAAAACGGAGAAAGGACAGCAACTGGGCGGGAAGCCCGAGGCGGATAAGAACGGCGGAGCAATTTCGACTAAAGGTGACACCAGCGTGCCGTGATACGCCGCTTATCATTCGGGGCGTTGCCGTTTTGTGCCGTGTGGGTTCTGCCACTCCCCGCCGCCTTGGTTGCCGCCACCCTGGTTGCCAACCATGCCGCCGGCGGCACCGCCAGCACCACCGCCGCCACCAAAGAAGTTGGGTGTAAAGTTCGGGTGCATGCCTTGGAAGTCTGGAAAGTCGTTAGTGAGAGTTCGACAAAAGAAAAACAAAGATAAAAAACGAAAAGAAAAGAAGCATGGGGATAGGGAGTGAAGAAAACGTACTCGGCATCCCGCCACCGACCATACCCATACCACCCATACCGCCCATACCGCCCATGGGATTCATGCCTCCCATACCGCCGGGCATGTTGCCTATGGGGTTCATGCCGCCCATGCCACCCATGGCCGCGCCCATACCGCCCATCATCCCACCCATTGGGCCGCCACGGCCGCCGCGCATGCCTCCTGGGCCACCGCGCATGCCACCGCCCATATTGCCACGGAAGTTGCCGTTGAAGCCGCCGCCGCCCATGGGGTTTCCGCCAAAGTTCATTGGCCCGGCATTGTTGTTGTTGTTGAACGAATTCATATTGCCGCCGCTAAAGTTCCGGTTGAACCCCCCCTGATTGTTCATGCCGCCACGGTTGTTGTACATATTGCCACCGCCACGGCCACGGAAGCTGCTGCCACTGTTATTATTGTTGTAATTGTTGTAGTTGTTGTTGCCGCCGGACCGATCCTGGTAGCCTGAGCTGGACACATTGCGATTTTGTAAATTGTGTGCGCCGCCGCGGCCAGGGGTGTCCTTGGGCAGAGTCCGGAAAGGGTTAATGGCTGGTGACGAGAAGATGACACTATGCTTCTTCTGTCCTGCCTGGTACTCGCCTGTCGCTTGTGACTCGATCCGGTGCTTGGTGGCCGTTGCGGCCTGTTGTGACGAAAACTCGACGTAGGCCTGCCTATGCAAGGTGGAAGAAAGGTAGGGAGTTAGTAAACGATGTAGATGGAAACAAAGCGCAAGTGTGGCCTGACCACAGGCGAGCCGAGGCAGTCCTACTCACCCTTTGCTTTTGCCGTTGACCTTGTGTTCGCTGAACGTAATGTCCTTGAGCTCTTCCTCGCACTTTACTGCTGCAATCCAGCCACGAATGTCGTCGTCGGTGATCCACCAGTTGAGCTCTGAAACCATAATGGCCGTCGTGGCACCCGGATCTATCGGACGATCATCTGAGCTTCCTTTCCGCTTCACACCTTGTGTCGGCCCTGGCGGCGACTGGTTTTCTGTTTTGGACGAGTCCTGTGCGCGATCAATCTGGTTCTGGTCATCCTGGTTGTGGCTCTGGTCATCGTAGTCGGGGCCTTGGCCTTGGTTGTTGGTGGCCTGGTTCTGGTCCTGGTCGTCACCAGCAAAGTTGTCTTGCCTGTTGCCGCCATCGTCGCCGTTGGCATCGCCGTAGATGTCGATCTCAAAATCCTCTTCGGTCGTCATTTTGTCGGTTTGCTGTGGAAGGAGAGTGAGTGAAAGCGCCTTGTAGTGTTGTCTGTCGAGCGTTTCAGAAACCCCTCAGTGCCTAAAGGAGGCACGCAGAAAACTAAAAGTTAAATGTCAAGTTTTCAAAGACAGTGCTTGAGCTATGCGATGCCGCGTTCAGTTGCTGTGTCCACCGAAACTGTATTGAAACCTAGGTTAGGACCAGAGATACAAGAAATGCTGGCGCACCACCCATCTTCGTAATCTTCGCAACCAGCTGCTGAAGATGCCATTGTGCGGTGTCTTGCAAGATCGGGAAAATAATAATAAATCGACAGGTAGAAAAAAGAGCAAAAGGAAACGGCGCCAAACAAGTAAGAAGGAAACCCCAAGATCGAGAGATAAAAGCGAGAAAAGTAAAAGCAAAAAATGTGCGACGAAAAATGAGGAACCCGAGACAACAATCCGAGCGAAGGACAGAACAGAGCTATTGGTACGTACACTCCTGGGGTGCTTTCTTTTCTAGACACGAAGAAACTTGGCTTCTCGATAACAAACGGACGATGATGGGGAGTTCCCTTTCAGTGCAAAAGGAAGCCCTATGATACGTGCGGCAGACGAAGCTCTGTGCTTGCAGTCTGGCTCTGTAGGACAGTAGACAGGACGAGCTGGTACAGGGTTATATGTGAGAAGAGAAGAGCTGTGGTTCAGCCGAAACAAATAAAGCGATGGAAAGAGTCTGATGCGAATGTGCAGAGTAACAAGAGCACGATGGTCTGTCTTTTGTCGGGCCGGAGCAGCAGTGCGCGATTGTTGGGGCGGCCCGGGAGCTTCGTTTGGAGTTCGGTCGACGCTGGGCCGATGGTTCGTGGTTGTTCGACGTAGGAGAGGGAAGATAGAAGAGCGTAGCGCCGGACGGCAGCTCCCGTATTCGTGATAGAGGAGATGCGACGGGGTAAGAAATGTGATGAAGGTTCGGATGATAGAATGTTGCGACAGCTTCTGGCACCAGGCAGCTACTCTGTAGGCTACTGTCGTGGGAGGCGCGAACACGAGTGCAGAGCAAACTCGTTTTCAATACGACGAGAATAGTCGATGAGGGCGAAAATCGACAAGGCCGCTGTGATGCCGAGTCGAGTTGGTTTGAAAGAGGTCGCGCGCAAGGAAAAGAGAGACGAAGAGAAGAGAACGAGAGACACGCGAAATTCCGTAGTGCACGCACGCACTATTCCTAGCAAAACTGGGGTGGTCAATGAGGAAGCAGGAGCTTCCCGCGACACAGTTGGTCAAACAGGGCAGGAGGTCTGTCTGGAACAAAGGGGAAGCCCCAGTGTGTGGGTCACCTGCTAAAATGCTAGGGAAGCTTTGGAAGCAGGCAGGCAGACTGCAAGAAGCAGACCAAGAATACCGTGCTAAATACAGTGCGTATACTGTAACAAGTGGCGTTGTAGCCTCCTCTCGCACTATGCAAGATTTGGGTGGTCAAAACACGTGCAGGGCAGGGGGACTGCACTCTATTTAGATATAGCAGGGTTCGGGCGATCTGGCATGACCTCTGTGCTGGAGCTGGGGAAAGAGAGGTCGTCGCGAATACCCATTTTTTTGAACCGCTATTGAATCTGCCCCTTTCTCTTGTCTTCCTTTCCTCCACAATCCATCACGACCGACCATTTCCATTCCTTCTCGACAGCAATCGACGGACCTCGCTACAAAGACCATCTCTATTGTTTTCACCCGCTTCTCCAGTCAACACATACACAGCCGTCAGCATGTCTGAGCAGCTCCAAGAGATTCTCGACATCCCGCGGGAGTTTGTCAAGGATGGCATGCAGTTCCTGAACCGCTGCCAGAAGCGTACGTGAATCGACAGCCGCGCTCCCCTTTTGATGAACATGGCTCTAGATGACCTGGTTGGGGATGCAACAGGACAGAACTTTGCTGCAATAGCGGCCGCATCGCTGCTGGGACAGATGCAGACGCATCATCACGCGACATTGACGAAATTTGGCCGACGATGCTAACAATGTTCTTGTATAGCTGATGCGAAGGAGTTCGCCAAGATCAGCCAGGCTGTTGGTGTCGGCTTCATCGTTATGGGTGCCGTCGGTTACTTTGTGAAGTTGGGTACGTTTCGTTCCTTTTGTATTACGTTCTCGAATCGCGTCTACGCTGTGCATGTACTGACTTTTCTCTTTGTCTCGCCGTAGTGCACATCCCACTGAACAACATTCTGGTCGGCGGCGCGTAAGCGGAGCGCGCGACGAGAATTGTGGACGGATAAGAAGCGTGGCCCGACATGCCCTGTCTCTTGCCACGGGACGGACAACACTACGTGCCTTGGACGTCCCTCTTTGGCCGCAAGAGTCCGGCGAAACCACGGATTGTTGACGAAAATGTGCAAGACTCGGACGCGCGTCGTAACGAAAACGAACAGAAAGAAAGCGAAACACCCATAAACTAGTCGAGAAAAGGGAAGAGGCCGTATCCCCCATCTTGCAGACGGGAACACACTCTTCGCTTTTGTAATAATTTTTACTGTGTACAAAACCGCAGGCATGGACCGAGAAACAAACTATAAAAAGAGCAGGAAGGCATACCGGAGTTTTGATCAAATAGCGCAACACACTTTTTTTACTCTCACTCGATTTGACCTGATTTCTGCACATGTCGTGTGACTCGTGACTGGCTTTTCTGTGTGGTGACAGTATGACGGATGGTTTGTATTCTTGCTGGTAAACGTGTTCTAATATATGTATATGAATATGAGAAGCTGAGCAAGATCCGAGAGACTAGCCAACCCCGAAAGCCTGTCTTGAGCGAATCCTATCACTCTAGTTGGCCCACCAAGCTGTGTTCCGTACCGACGTCTGCCAGGACGAGATCGGCCGCATCCGATCGTCATACAATCGGTGTTCGCGCCCGCCAGCGTCGCCATCCTTGGCAATGTCGCAGGAGTGGACCGAGCACGTGCCGGTCTCCATACTCTCAGCGTCGAACGAAGATGCTAGACAAAATGTTAGGTGGAACGTGGTCAAACAAAACCAAACCAAGAAAAAAAAGAGATGGGCAGTATGGGGAAAATTACGTACCGACAAGAACGGGTATCGTGGGGTGCCAGCTGGCGTCACGCACACACAACGGGCCGTGCGTATAGCGGCGCTGGCGCACGCGTTGGCGGGAATTGAGAGTCTCCGCGGTGTTGTTATGGCCACCCGCCTCAGCTTGGCGCTCCTCCTCGGCGGCGACCGCCGACAGCGTCTCGCGCGTGGCCTCGCGCACGTCAATGACGCCCGCCAGAGTGGCGTCCAGGTTGTAGATGTAGACCTTGCCTGAGTGGCTTGCCGAGTAGACGTAGCGCCCGTCGCTGCTACCTGGTGGCGAGAAGTGGCAACGGATGAGCGTACGCTCGACACGGTGACCGCGGAAGGTCACGACAGAGTTGTCGTGTGGGTGTTTGAAGTAGAGGTCATCGTTGTAGCGCTGGAAGCGGTAATCGTACAAGCTGTACTGTGTTAGGGCGGCCGGGTCCTTGGCATCAAAGTCAGACATGCTCATGGCCATGCGCAGGTCCCACAGCCGCATGGTCTGGTCCTTGCCGTTGGACAGGATGTAGCGCCCGTCACCCTTGCTGTCGATGTATGTGATGCCCTCACAATGGCCAACAAAGGCGCCAGCCGCCCGACTGTCGCCCAGGCTGCGCCGGTCCCACACCTTGATGGTGGCGTCGTCGGATCCCGAGTATAGCAGATGCGGCGACTGCTTGTCGCCAAAGCACACCGCGTTGACGTCGTGTTTATGGCCCTCGAAGCTATGCAGCACCTGGCGCGATTCGATATCGTATACGATGATGGTGCTGGCGTTGGTACCGGCAACCAGTTCACGGCCATCGCCCGAGAACCGCACGGAGAAGATGGCAAACGAGTCGTAGAAATCGCCAATGGTGTCGTCCCGAGGGAGGCCAGCCAGGTCCAAAAGGTACGGCTCACCCTCGTCGTTGGGATCCGTCGGCGCGAGGCACACTTTGGGCATCATGGACGTAAACGCGAGCCACTTGTTGTCTGGGCTCAACGACGCATCTGTCATGGTCCAGCGGCCCGACGGATGCACCACGGTTTTGTAGTGCTTCCACTCGTTGACGTTGGAGGTGTCGTACATCCGCACGCGGAAATCCTTGGTGGCGCTGTAGAAGAAGTTCCCGTCGTCCGAGAACTGGCCCAGGTACACAGGAGCCTCGTACCTCAATACCATGTCGGCGTCGGTCGAAGGCACCATGCTCTGCGCAATCATGTTCTTGCCCAGCGTGCGGTCGGCTTGCGTCTGCCCAAGTCCGAGCTCACGGTCCAAAAGCCGGAGCGACACGGGCCGCCGTCTGGCCTCGATCTTGGTATGCAGAGAGTGGTTGTCGGAGGCCATATTGTCAAAGATCGTAGGGTAGACCTTGCGCGGCCGCTCCGTCGAGCCGAACACGCCCGAGTCCATGAGCTTTCGGCCCTCCTCGCTCGGCACCTTGGGGAATCTATTCGGGTCACGCAGCTGCTGTCGTCGCCGCCGGCTGTTGGTAAAGGCGTCGATGTCGAAACCACCACCCCAGTCGGTCACGCTCAAGAGGACGTTGTGCAGCGTCTCTCCTTGTAGCATGATATTCAGCTGCCGGCGGGTTAAGTAGGGTACCGGGCGACCTGTCACGTTAGTATAAACAGCTTTAGAGGAAGAGTGGGCATAGGTTCGCACCTTCATCGATATCGTCGTTATCGTCCTCCTCCTCGTCTTCGTCATCTTCGTCCTCTTCCTCTTCCTCTTCACCGTCATCTTCGTCGTCGTTCTCTTCGTCACCATCGCCCACAATCTCCTCATCTTCATCGACAACCTCTTCGATTTCTATATCGTAGTGCATGGGACCGTCCTCGGCATCTATACGGAACAGTTAGAGCTATTCGAACTACGGCTCAATCGGAGCGACCGGTTTAAATCGTACGGCACATACCATGGTATTCGTCGTCGTCGTCATCTTCCTCTTCGTCGTCGTCGTCGAGTAGTCTGTGGCTGGTGTCGTCGCCAAACTCGCCATGTACGGCTGTGTACTCGCCGCCAGCGCCGCCTGCACGCAGGCGATATGCCTGTCGCAGAAGATTTAAGACGTCAGAGGGGGCAGCACCATTGCTTTCGCTATCGCCGGCGCCAGCATTGCCGTTGCCGTTGTCGTTGCCTGGGGTCTGCGGAGCTGACATGTCGTTATGTCTTGGATAGGGTTGGACAAGCTTGGGGCGGGCGGTGTATTGCACAACTCCGTTTCACGCTTGCGAAGCTCGCAAAGAAGACACAAAACACACAGCGCCACAAAATGCGCAGCCCAAGAGCTTTGTGAGCAAGTTATTGAGTGTGTGCAAGGGTTTGATCGGAGGTCAAGGAACGACGGCAAAAGTGCGAGCGTGGGTTTCGTTTCCTGAATCCGGAATCAACTCCGGACGTGCGTGTGGCGGCCAAGCGGAGTATCGAGTGAAGGGAAAGTAAAGAAGTCGTCAACAAATCGTGGGGAAGCAAAAATACAGCGATTTGTATTAAAGGCCAAAAACAGGTGAGAGGAAGAAGAATGGCCTGGTTGAATGAAATGTCCATCTGGGTTGCGCTTTCCTCGTTGCAAAAACGCCTCTTAAACGAACACCTGACTCAGGTGCTCCTCCCTATTTCTAAGCTCATTGAGCTATTGCCGGTCGCTCTTGCTGGACCAAACTCCGCGAGAGCAGTATCGTATCTATGGCGCGTTATGGCCCACCCTTGCTGCAATTGCGGGGAGGCGAAACTGTCATCGCTCGTCTAGCTTGAGGAAAGAGCGGATAGGGTCTTATCTCCGACAGCTTAAAGGCGAGCACGCTTTAAGCACAGCAACTGGGCAGTTGTGATGATAGATATGAATAATCATTGCGATATTCTCACTTTCGTTTACCCCAAAGGTCCATCATTTGAACTTCAACTCTCCATTGCCAAACACACTGATATTCCAACTTTAATTTCTTGTTTCTACAATCTTTGAACATTTGTGCCCGGATGGGTTATTTCCATAATCTATTTTCGGACGAAACGTCATATTGTGGCGCTGGAAACCTTTGCAGCTCGGCATTAAATCAGGCGAATCGCTGAAACGGAAGTGCCTGGATGTGCAACATACACGTTGTAGGCTATTAGCTATTAATACATTTCTTCTTATATTTAAGTTGGACTGCATTGCCAATCGACCTTGTTTTGGCCCTGCCTGGTTCATTCTCATCTGATTTTCATCTGGATCTCAAACGGGGCCGCGTCCGCAGTTGGCTCATGTTTGGCTTTCATAGCGAGGAATCTTTAAATATCTCCAAGTGCTTGAACGAGCTACGTCCACAGACATTTCGTTTGGACTCGATACCTGTGATTGGCATGGCCGTGGACCTCCAAATACTGTTGGAGCAGCCTCGGCCCCGGAGCAGACACGACGTGCGTGGCATCGCACAAGATGAGCCGTCCATCCGGCCACTTTCCAATACGCCCACCGCAATTGGGCCGGTCTGCATGCATCCTTGTCCTTCCCAGCTCGCAGAGAAACTGGGGCAGACAAGTGCACAAAAAGAAGCAGACACGAGACACAAGATGTTGCATCGTATCGCATGGTGTGGCTGGAAGGCTGTTGCTGGGGGTTGCCTGCTTCTGGCGTGTTCTGTGAGTCGTTCAAGGGTGCCCGGTGTGAAACCATCCCGGGCGTGCTTTGCGCGTCTGCAACTTGCATCCGGAGTCGTTCATGTGGCTCATGTCGTTCGTGTTGTTCGTATAGCTTAATCCTTCACCAGCTTTCGAGTTGCAGCTGCGTTCGCCACCATTCTTCCTTCCGTGGCAAAGACACTCCACGAACCAGGCAGTATAATTCAGTTCGTCCGAATTGGCGTGTGGGGTCCGTATTTTCATGTGTCACGTTGGTCTGCCGCTGGATTGTGCGCCGTGAATAATCATATTCGGCCCTCAAAATGTCTTGATCCCCAGAGTTTGACCGATAGCAGCGGGGGTTGGTCGTTCGGCAACCTCGCCAAAAAGAAAACCGTATTTGGTTCATTCACTTGCTGTCCTCATGCACAATCGCAGAATTCGGTGTCTGTTATGAAACCGTAGTGCCTTGTAACACCATTTGGGTCTCCTATCCCCAGTTCAATCTCATTGTGTGCAACCAGAAGCTATGCTCCATGTCCGGATAGTAAGTAGCGACTGAGAATAACAGCCTCACGTGTGGTATCACAAACGGTAATGTCACTGGCCATTCGTTGAAATTCAATTAAAAAGGGGGCCAAGCAAAAGAGGGTGTGTACCAAGAAACAAAACAGAGGGAGAGGAAATGAACGGGCATATATCACAAAACAATATCCCGGATTTTCGAGACCACTTCATCACCATTACCAACACTGTCTGTTCTCTCAATGGGCACTCGCCGAAAGAGAGACACACGTTCCACTTAACCTTTACTGCCTTTCTCGCCAGTACCCCAAACTCCTTGACCGCCTTTTTGGGACACTCTCGAAGATTCAATTTTCAATGAAAACGATACTCCAGCCGGCCAATCTCGTCAATATCAAGCGGTTTGCTCGAGACCACCACCCTTTCGTGTGACAGCGATATGCGCCGCGTACTCCCGGCGTGCAGAAACATACCAAGCACGTGGATCAGCAATGACTTGTGGTGAGAAGAGTACGATGGGAAACAGCATGAGCAGGAATTAAAAACACCAGACAAGTAAGATAGGGACGCAAACGACGCGAATCAAGGAGAGACCTTGTCTCGACTCTGTTCTCACAATATGTGTCTCTGTGCGCCGTTGAGCACTATTCGAGTGGACGGGGGACGAGGGCGCTGCGGTTGGTGAGAGCGATGGCTTCACTTCCTCTTCTCTGATGCTGGAATAGCTGTGGGCTTGTCTTGGCCAAAAAGACCGAGAAGATACGAAATTCGCATCACGGCGAGGAAGGTCTAGCACATTGGAGATTAGTTTGCGGTAAAGGAATAGGTAACCTTCTCACTCCGCCTCTTTGCATGCTTGCAGCCTCTTCCACGAAAAGTTGCTCGGGCCGACGATACGTTAAGCCGGATTCACCGTGCACAATATACGTGATGCCAGATACACAGACAGAGCGTGTGAGAGTGTATTGAAAACAATAAAACATACCGTGAACCCAACATTTCCCCACGTCATGGCGTTCCAGTCGCCGACGGCAGCAAACCGCTCTGTACCAAGAGCAATGATGGTCAAGCCAACATGACCTACGTCTGCAATCAATAGTGCTACCAGGTAGTTGTGAACGACCTTCAGTTCGGTGCTGGTGTAGAGGACTGCGACGCCGACCATAAACAGCAGGCCATAAGCGTTCCCAAGCTGCTGGGCCACGATGCGTGCCTGGTCTGAAAGGCCAATGGCTGGGGCCAATGGCACATCTGGAATCTGCTCGCGGACGAACCAATCGGTCGCGAACAATGCAGGCACACAGCCGCCGATGCTAAGTTCAGAGAGAGGTGGGTCGTTAGCAGAAGGAATGGATGTAAAAGGAAGCCGACGACGGAAAACCACCAGGTCCAGGCCCAGGCCCAGTCCCTGGGCCAAGTCGCGGGCTCGGAATATACAGTTAGCCACTCACAGGGAGATAGGCTCGATGATGGTGAATACCAACCGGGGGATGGTCGGGAGACGGGACGCCATGGTCGATGCAATGGAGCCGATCGATCGAGTCTCTGGTGTGTTTGGGTGTGGGTGCGTTCTGTTCCTTTGGGCTTCGCCTTGTTGGTCCAGCCTAGCACGTTCTGGTTCTGCGTATTCTTGCTGTTGTCGTCATGTGTTGTTCTACTTCGTTTTTGCCTCTTTTAGCTGTGGCTTGCAGCAGGGCGATGCTGGTTGGTCTGGCTTGTTTCAGGAGAAGCGAACGTGCTTCGTTCTGTGTGCTCCGGTTTTCGACGGGTTTTTCTATTTCTTGCGCCCCCTTCTGTCAATGCTTGTCTCCGTAGTCGTAAACCCCCTGCTCCGTCGGGCAATGCGCCAGCACAGCAAAACGCACAGGTGCCAACCCCAAAAAAGAAATCCTGAAATCGCTGGAACTCAAATCTTCAAAGTCGACTCCAGCCCCAACTAAACAACTCCAAACCCCAGACAAAAATTAAGCTCGCCTCTAACAACGGGTCCTGCGCATAATGCAGCACCCCAGCCTCATTAACTGTCGGTAACGTCGCGGGTGAAGAAAAAAAAAGAAATCACACACACAGAGAGACTCACACACAGACACAACACAAGGCTTGACGGCACACCGGGGTGTGTCGTGGCAGAGACGGGTAGTGGATCCAAGAAATTCCAGAAACTAGAGGAAGAAAGAGTCTGGGCCTGGCCTTGGGTCGACATGACCAGCCAAGACAAAAGGGGCATGCACTTGGCTCGTTCCTGCACTACCCGTGCGCTCACAGCACATGAGTGGAAATTGAAGGAGCCAAAACGGAAGGTCCCCCCGCTGCCCGGGGAAGCGACTACTTGCGGACAAGAGCCAAGGCATGGGCCAAAAAGCCAAAAAAGGCCAAAAAGCCAGGCCACGACGCTGCAGAGCACCAGCAAGCCTGACAAGTTCGTAAGATCGTAAAGTCAGCACACCTGGCAGCATGCACAGGACACAAAACAACCTGCACGATGCAGCAAATGCCAATTTCAATTTCTCACCAACCGGCCACGCGCCATAATTTATGCCTCCGTCTTACGACTTCCCTCGGAAGGAGTGCTCGCCTGCTACTCAATCATGTGCCTCGCGCCTGCCCGCTTTGTCGATTTGGCTCTACTGGTCCTCTTCCTCAGTTGCCATCCTTAAGCTTGGTTTGTACCTCTGGTTGGTCTTTCCTGGCGTGATGCCCTTGGTTCTTTCCCCAAGTATGTCCAACCCATTGCAAGTGGTAATACTTTGTAGCGTGGGTGTGGGTAGTTCCTTCCCCTCTTGGCTCATTGGGTCCCTAGTCTGCCTACCCCTCAATTGTTATCGCAGCTACGGAATAAATCCAGGAGGACGGGGACGTTCTAGACCTTTCGCCCATTTTGCGCTTTATATTAGTGCACGGTGGATGTAGCTCTATTTTTTTTTCTCAACTTTAAGTGGTTTATACATTTGTCCCTGGCTCTCGAGTTTCCCATGTTTTGGCGTTATTACTACCCGTCTTTTTCTGTCGCTGCCTCGCATTGTATGGCATTGTCATTCTTTTTTTTTTTTGCTTGCGAACTGCGAACGAGTCCGGGCAGTAGCCAGCGTGGACGTCTATTATATTGTTTCCATTCAGCGTGCAGAGACGGCAGGCACGTCCCTTTCAGTTTCTATCATTGTCTCTTCATGGACCACAGCGTCGTTCTTTCCTGTCTCGGTAGACCGACTGCCAGCAGTTGATGCACCGTGATTGCCTTGATTGCACCTTCTGCTGCCCTCCCCCTTCGTTCCTTCCGTCTTTTGTTTTATCGTGCGCGCGTTGGCGGTGTGTCTTACGGGTCCTGCCCGGGAATTGGAGTCTCGGTTGGAAAGACCAGGGAAGCTGGGAACGAGCCAAAGAGGAAAAAGTCCAGAAGTGCAAAGAGGAATGTACAACGCACAGGAACCCACAAATGGGAGAGAGCCACCCAGCAGCCACGACGACAATATTGACGACTGCCAATACGAAAGAAAGCCGCAATTATAATCGACCTCGGCCGGAACTTCGACGTCAACTTGCACAGGCACGGTCAACCCTTAACCGCCACGCCAGCCTTCTGCACGACGACAAGCATAGAGACGAACTCGAACGTATCTCAACCGGCAGCACGCAGTGGGACGAGACTGAAGCATCAGAGCCAAACCGAAGCCAATAAAGAAGCCACTGGCCATTAATACTACGTAGAGTTTCGTCAGGCCACCCGTGGACTGTCAACGCCCTCTGTCACCCTAGTAGTCTAATATTCCAGACTCTTGGGTTGTCACCATTTTGCCTCTTTTTCCACTTATTTCTTAATTTACCTTTCCCTTTTCCCTCCCTGCCACCTAGTTGCCTCCTCTCACGCTCACCTCTATTTCTTCTCCCTCTAGCCCCCGTCTCTCTCACTTTTGCTTGGCATTTTCTATTTCACTTTGATTCACGTCATTTTTTTACTCACTTTGCCCTTGTCCCTTTCTCTCTCCGTCAAGGACCACCATGAGTTAACGGGACCCCGATGTCCCTCCTCTTGCACCATGGCTGCCAACACCATGGCCACCATCGAGCCGCGGCTAATGCACCTCCTCAATGTGAACGACGACAGGGATCATCTACCCTCGATACACAGCACTCTTGGCGTCCCGGATAGCCACGAAGATGCCGCAGCCCTTATGCTTCCGCCCCTAGAACTCAACTCGCCCGAGTCGTCGGCGGGGAAGCAGTCTCAACAGCAGCAGCAGCAACAGTATCAACAACAACAACATCATCACCAGCAAGCCGGTTTGAACCATTCAACACTCAACTCGGCTTTTTCGCCCTCGAGCGGCGGTGATGAGCCTGGTCTGGGTGGTTCCGGAGGCGCCGGCGGGTGGGCGAACCGTCCGCTCCGCATGTTCCTTGGCGATGGCTCAGCCAGCTTGGTCGACCCCTTCATGCTTCCAGGCGGGCCAGACGATCCGTCGTCATCATCGTCTTCGCATATGGGCAAGCGGCCACACGTTGTACCACACACAGATGAACTAATACAACTACCGCAACCACTGAAAAAACAAAAGTCGAGCCAACAAGTTGGTTCTCTGAACCAGGTCTTTCCGCCCATCATCAACGGCCTGCACGAACCGCCACCGAACGCCGCCGTGTTCCCTCCTATCGCGTATGCCGAGTATGATGGCGACGAGTCGAAAAACCGCAATGCTGACTACGGAGGAAACTCTGGCGGTGGAGGTACAGGGAACAGCACTGGCGGCGGCGGCGGCCACTATCTTTTTGACAGCATGCTCTCTGGAGGTGGGCTACACATGGTCTCTGATCACGATAGAATGGGTGAGGCCATGGGCATGTCCTCGTCTACGCTCCCGCTGGTGGGAGGACGGCACTTTTCGGCGTCGTCTGCCACCGACGTGTCACCAAAAATGGGCAAGGCGACCAAAAAGTCACCAGTACCCGGCCGTCCAGCACGAGCACCACGGTCGACGCGATCGACGACAGGCGAAGCCGGCGACTCTCCAGAAGCAGCATCCTCAACAAACTCTGCAAAGCCGAAACGGCGTGCAACGAAGCCTCGTCGTCGGTGGACAGAAGAAGAGACCAATCAGCTGCTTATTGGTGTGAGCAGACATGGACTTGGCAAGTGGACGGCCATTTTGGAGGACCCAGAGTTCGAGTTCAGCAGCCGCACAGCAGGTGACTTGAAAGACCGCTTCCGTACTTGCTGCCCCGAAGAGCTACGTGGCAAGTTGAGCCGAAACGATCCGTCGGGAGCCGCCTCTCCGCCAGACGCATCCACGCCCTTGTCGTCGACACCAGGGCCATCTACGGCGTCTGGCCAAGGCAAATCGAAAACAAGTCTGTCGTTAGAAGACATATTGACTGAGCCCGACGAACAACTCGAAGCATACAACAGCCAGGGCCAAGATGGCTCGCCTAGCTCAGCCTTGTCTCCAGACCAGCCCAAGATGCGGAAACGGCGTGTCCACCGGCGGAACATGGAAGACATGATCAAGCTGGGCATCCAAGGGCCCTTCAAGAAGTCGCATCGCCGCGAGAGACGGCCATTCACAGAACAAGACGACAAGGAGATCCTCGAGGGCCTCCAGATCTATGGACCGGCCTGGACCAAGATCCACCGGCATCCCAGTTTTAATCTCGCCAGCCGCCAGCCGACGGATTTGCGGGACCGTGTTCGCAATAAATATCCAGACATTTACGCCAATATAGAGAAGGGTGTATTTCAGGGGCAGCCCGAGGGTAGCTGACACGGAAGAGTTTTTTCTGGCATACAGCAGAGTTTTACTAACAAGGCCCGTGGCTCTAGAACGTGGTCAAAGGTTGGGTCGGGTTTCACCTCACAGCATGTTTCTTTTACGAGTGCTTTCAGGCAGCGGGCGAAGAATGGCTGGCAAAAAGCCGCCAGGCGGCAATTGTGGGATTATTAAAGGAGTCTACGTTTAGCCATTTGGGTTGTATTATTTCGTTTATTGGCGTGGGCAATTTCAAAAAATAGCTCCAAAGCCACACAGACATTTTTTATACGAGAATGCGCCAATGATGTTTAGCGACAGCGTCTGTTTTGAATCGACGGTTTTTTTGTGCTTTGGTTGGTCGTTTGGTGCAATTTCTCGTGATGAAGAACATAATGAATAAAAAATGTAAAATGTACGATGTACAGGAGTACGGGAAATACGGGAAATGCCGAGGAGACGTGAAACTACACTCCTGTTAGTAAACAACAAGGCGATGCGAGATCCAAAAGATGGGACAGGGGCGGATGGTCCCGTACATGGACCTGATGACTAATCTTTCCAAAGTTGCACGCTTATTTTTTTTGGTGGACAGCAAATGCCAATTGATGGCATTGCAGCACTCTCCAAAGTGCACCCTCGCGTCACTGGCCAGCGACAGCCTTCCTCGCTCATCTGTACAATCCGGCACTTTTGGGTTGCAAAAAGGCGCATTTTTTTTCCTTTCTTACAATCCAAGTCGAGTCTTGCTTTACGTTTTGTGCAATCATGTCGGTCACGCTCCACACCAATGTGGGCGATCTCAAGATCGAGGTCTTTTGCGAAAGTGTCCCAAAGACCGCAGAGGTAGGCCGCCATGCTTGTCCCTTCTTTTACAGATTGTTAATTACGCGGCCGCCGTTCTAACTGAGAATGCAGAACTTTTTGGCTCTCTGTGCGTCGGGCTACTATAACGGCTCGCCCTTCCACCGCGTCGTCGCCGGCTTCATGGCCCAGACAGGGATGCCGGCCCAGTCGTCCAAACACAAGGGCTCCAAGGACAAGGACAAGGACAAGGGCACGTCCATCTGGGGCCAGCCCTTTGAGGACGAGATCCGCCTGCCCGCGCTCCGCCACCACGCGCGGGGCATCGTGTCCATGGCCAACAAGGGCGCGCCGCCGGTCGGCAGCGGCCTTGCAGGCACCAATGGCTCGCAGTTTTTCGTAACCTTTGCACGCACGCCACACCTGGACGGTGTCAACACGGTGTTTGGACGGCTGCTGGGCGAGGCGTCTTTTGAGACGCTGGACAAGATCGAGGCCGTGCCCGTGGACAAGAAGCATCGGCCCAAGTCAGGGCCGCCACCTACCATGAACAAGGAGGGCGAGGAAGGCGATTCATCGTCTGCGGTGGCAGCCGTGTCCTCAGAGCCGCCACGGATTGAACGTGTGACGGTCCACGCGAACCCTCTGGCCAAGTGAAGGCCACGGATGACGATACAATCATCGAGCCGGGGTAGTTTTAATGTCGGTTCCGCAGGACGTGGGCGCAAAGCCCCAATTACTTGACTTCCTCGAGATAATGGGTACATACAGACAGTGCGAGGCATAACGCGTCGCCCGATGTTTTGCCGTCAGCGGCCAGCCCCATCCCAAGCCGACCGCGAGGTGGTGATGTTCTGAGCAACTCCGGCTTTGACGAGAATAGTTTAGACTCTTTGCATCCGCTGTGCAAAGTCGTCAAGGTTTTCGCCACCCAACGAGTCACATACGCTCGTCACTAATCTCAAAAATCGGTGAGCATGCCACAATGCTTGCTCGCTCCGCTTTACGAGATTGAGGCGGTAAATGATACAGCCGCCCACGACACAAATCTCGGCCACATAAATACAACAGCTAACTGTCCGTGTCGCTTTCTGGACAAAGAAAATAGAGCAACATGCACAGCGCGGTTGCAGACGAGTTGGCCCTCAAAGCTTGAACCAGAACTACGCATGCCTCGATGGATAAAACTTGAGCTTCATAGCGTACATATATGATGCGAATGAAATTTGATGAGAATACACGAAATGCCGAATATCGAAGCATGTTTCAAGCGTTGTGACTTTTAATGCAAGGCTGTTGTGTGGTTCAGTGGCGACTTCCACGTGACCCCCACTAAAAGTAGCAAGCGCTGCTGAAGCGCGGTGGGCGACGGCAAGTGGCGGGGATATTGCGCAGAGCGATAAGTCTTCATGAATTTTTTCTTTAAGGACAGGACGACAGCCTTGGGCGGAAACGACGGCATATCGAGCGAAAACACGCGCGAATGGCATGTCTCGAATCTCATAGCTATGGACATGAGCTTATAGACATACGAAATCACGACGACAAGACAGTTTCAAACCCCTTGCGCCGTGTTTGCTGGCGCCAAAACTGGCCTTTCATTTCATTGCATTTCATTGCATCCTAACTTCTACCACTTTCACTCGACATGCTTCTCTGTACGTCTTTTCAGGATACGCGACATGCTCCGGTTTGAAGGAGCCCCAGTAGTCGCCAACGCCTCCCCACGCCTCCCCACGCCTCCCCACGCGTCTCTCGCTCTGTCACTAACAAACTTCCCCAGTCTGCCCCTGCTGCGCCAACATCTTGACGGTGTCGGCACACCCAGAGACGGGCCGCAACCGGCTCGAGTGCCGCACCTGCCCGTACGAGTACGCCATTGCTACGCCGCTCTTTAGCCGCCGGGAGTTTACACGCAAGGAGAAGGAGGACGTGTTCGGCGGCCCGGGCGCGTGGGACAATGCGCAAAAGACCAAGGTGCAGTGCCCGGCAGAGGGCTGCGACGGCGGCGAGGCAGCGTTCTTCCAGGTGCAAATCCGGTCGGCCGACGAACCGATGACGAGTTTCTTCAAGGTGAGAGAACAGGCCCTATGTCCTATTTTCCCGTCGTCTCCCTCTTGTTTGTATTTTTTTTTTTTTTTCACCAGATGGCTAACCAAAACAGTGCATGACGTGTGGAAACCGGTGGCGGGAGAACTAAGAGTTCGGCGATGTGGTCAGGTGTAGTTGGGAACCGGAGTCCAGAGGCCGGAGGTTGTGAGTTTCGTGCCATAATACCCAGAGCTGTAGCAATAGACTGTTTTGTGCCTCTTTTCCTCGACCTTGTTGTGTACCATCTGCATGTCCGAGTCTTGTTCACGCCCAGCGGAACCCGGCCTGTATACCCTCTTGCTCCAGTCGCATGACCACCTCGGGACTAATAATCGCCTGCCGGAAGGACTCTTCTTGCAAAAGCTCCAGGTGCCGCAGCGACGGCCCCGGCCAGCTGAGGTATTGCAGGTACGGTGGTGTGCGCCAGTACTGCAGGTAGGCGAGGTAGCGCACAAAACGAGGGTCGTCCAGGTACTTTTCGGCAGCCAGGTGCTGCAGATAGTAGGGGTTGGCGAGACAGGCAACGAACTCGCACTCAATCTCGAAACGCGTCTGCAAGACATCAGTGGTGGCGCCGTTAGCGGCCGTCGGCAGCGAGGGCGGCTCGTTGTTGCCGAAAGCAGAAGCCATCGTCGGAGGAGATATATCGTTGTGTGGATTGTCGGTGGTATTGGGTGATCTCTGGCTCGGATTGCGCGTGATGCTGAGCTGTGCACAGACAGATGTCGTTGCAAATTGACAGGAATGAAGGAGCTGTGGTAGTTGACGAGACGCGGTGCTCAGAATTGGCCAATCAGCGTCACGTGCGCCCAGTTCCCCACGAAAGCCAAGCTACAGCAACAGCCCTGCCCAGACTTTGATAATCCTGTATCACCAACAGCTCTTTTATTCGATTAAATATCTTTCGCTGTTATTTTTATATATATTTGATTTCAAAATTTCTAAATAGGTACATGAACCCTGCGCCTTATTTGCGCCGGCCATTCCGTACATACCGGTGCCACATAGAACGAACCTACGAAGTACATACCAGCCGCATGCCGCCCAGCATCGGCTGTCTTTCCATTCTCAACGTTCTGCCTCCTTTCTGTAGCCTTTCTTTTTACTTGTTGCACTCAGTCCTGCTTCTTCGTGACGCCGTAGCTGGTAAAGTCCACGCCCAGCCCCAAAACAAACAACAGGCGCGCCAGCAGCGGCGGCGCCGTCGTCCAAAACACCATCCAGTCGGCGCCTGTCCACTGCGCCACATCGGCCCAGGCGGCCCACCCGCCCAGGGCCTGCGCGCAGCCGTGGGCGTAGGCGGCGTCGCTCAGCAGCATGCCCATACACAGCCAGCGCCAGAGGCGGGTGTCGTTTGGATACAGACGCAGGACGATGGCTTCGACAAAGGCAAAATAGAGCCAGCCGCCGCCGAGCTGGGTGTAGAGAAAGGCAGCGGCGTCGCCCTGGTCGGCCGGGTAGGCGATGGAGTGGCGGGTCATGGTAGAGAGGTAGCTGCCCGGATCGCGGAAGACGAGGAGTGCGCCATTGAAGGCGAAGAAGGGCTCGAGGGTGTTCAACATGAGCCGGTACAGCCAGTGGATAGGTGATGCGCCAGCGGTGCCGGCGGGAGTCTGCGTACTGGCCATTGCTGGTGACGACGTTTCGATTTTTTGTTTCTGGTGTTAAACGCGATATGCAATGGAGGTGATTAATTTTCATACAGAAACGGATATGGTTGGAGAAATCAATGTCGAAAATGAAACGCATGCCATCGTAGCATCATCATCGATTCCAAGTTTTTGACGTAATTAGTCCCTGTGTCGTACAGCAGCTACCATGACAGAACACTGGAGGAACCTAGTCCGGCTCATATCACGTGGAGCTACTGCAACACATCGGGAAACTGACTCGAATTGCTTTCCCCTTAACTAGGGACGCGTGTCGATCTCTCTGGCACGCGTTGTGGGCTTCTTGATGTCTTTGGCTGCAATTTGTGACGACTCCATGCAGCTGCGGTTGGGCATGTGCAACGTAGCACATCAGGGTCTGGTTGTCAGCAGGGAGCAACCAAACTGGAAAACGAACAAAGGCGAAGTGCCATCCATGCCCGGAACGGGACAGGCAGCTAGGGAAATTCCGTCCCCAGTATTCTTGTTAGGCTTCCTCATAATAAATCACAAAGAACTCATCGAACTAGTTTTATTGTTAAGAAGCAAAAGATAATCATCACTACTATTAAATCCCCCATTTTCAATCCTGGGATGGCTAAAACGCAGACATTATGGCTCGTGAAAATAACGTGAGAAAAAGCGATGAAAATGGACCAAAATACACAAGACTAGGGTTGCACTCGATGCTTGCCACTGCCCCCGGATATTGGAGACGATCCCAATTAGCTAGAAACGCACTCGTTGCATGAAACAAAAACGTCAGCCAGCCACATCCCCCCTCCCTTCTAACGTATTTTCTTTGTTACTCCTTGTATTTTACAGAGCAGCAATCAGGCCAACAAAGGCGGCCAAAACACCCGCGCCCAACGTCGCCGCACCAGCGGTCGAGGCCGACGTCGACGGGCCCGTGCCGCCGCCGCCACCGCCGTTGGAGACGGTCTTGGTGCCCGTGGTCACGGTGACGTTGCTACCAATGCCGCGCGACGTCGTCTTGGAAGAGGACGTGGTGACAGTGGCCAGGGAGCCGGAAGTTGACTTGGTGGTGGAGGCGGTGGAGGCGGTGGAGGTGGTGGCAGCAGCCGAGCCGGAGGAACCAGTCGCCGAGGTAGAGCCGGACGTAGTGGTGGTCGAGGCAGAGGCCGAGGCCGGAGCGCCGGCTGTCTTGCTGTACTCCGCGCACAGGGCGTAGCCGGCGCTCTGGGCCTGGATGAGCTCAGCGGCGGAGTGGCAGTTGTTGATGAGGCACGGGGCGACGAGGGAGGCAATGGCACTCTCGGTCGGGCCGCACTGGCAGGCGACGTCGTTGGCGGCGCAGCCGGCTTTGGAGATGGCAGAGATCAGGCAGGAGGACTGGGAGTAGTTAGTACGACGTGGTGTGCATCAAAACCATACATATGAAATATATTCTGCTTGGAGAGAAAGTACACATACAGCACACTCAGGCTCGCCAGAGAGGTTCTGGGCAACGGCCGCACCGGCCAGGGCAAGGGCGACGACAGCAGACTTCATTGTAACTGCGGTGGTGGGTTGAGAGGTGTGAGGTAGATGAGAAGCGGAATAAATGAGGATGAAGTGTATCGACAGGAATGTACTCTGTAGTGTATGTGTAAGTGGTGTGTGAAGAAACTGTAAATACGCAGGAGGGCCAGGGAAAGAGCGAAGAGCGGCCACCGTCCACAATATAAAGAGCGAGTCAGTGAGGAGACAACACCGATGCTGCGGGAAGGAGCAGGGGGCAGCGCCAGATATCAGCATGGGCGTGAGGAGCAGCGCAAACCGACAAGGGAAGGAGTGGAAATAAGCAGGTAGGTCACTTAATACTGACCATTCTCACAACAAAAGAGGGGGCAAGCTCATCAAGGTAAGAGCAAACGGGAAACGATCCGCCAAAATGGTAACCATTTCAAAGGGGGGAAGACTGTTCCTTCCCTTTCGGTTTTTCCTGTTCATCCATCCCCGGAAAGAGGAGACAAGAATCGTCAGCCCAAGGAAATTGGCAGCGCCTTGAGGTGCCTTTTGGTGCATTTTGGTGCCTCTTTTTGCCTGCAAAATGACTAGCCAGGGGTTTGGTTCTGTTCCCCAACCCTCCACACCAACTCGTCTCTACGCGTCCAAGCTTCCCATCGATTCGTTTGCTCGTTGCTTCAGCTCTCAATCTTCTGCCAGCTCCCCGTTCGGGGTTTCCTCATCATTACGTGTTCAAAATGCTTCGTCAAACGGTCCAAGGTCCTTTGCTGCTCATTGCTCTTCCTGTCTTTGATGGCTTCCTTCGCCTCTTCCTTGCTTTCGTCGTCCATCCAGCGAGCTGTGGCGGGAGGGTTGCATTGGAGTGGCCGCCCTGCAGATGGTGGTTGGCTGACTCGTGTTGTTTGTTGGGGTCGACTGTGCAAGTCTGCCCGGAACATGCGGTTGCCCTTGCGGCGACCAGCCCTGTCGCCTTTGGTGACGAAGCCGTTGCTGGGCCCACAGTGTGCTGAGGTGCCTCAAAAAGGGCTGCATAAGACTGGAAGGGCGCTAAACTGCACACTCGACGATGCACGCCCGTCAATTGTTTCTTTTCTTTCCCATTTCTCTCCTTGCTTCAGCAAAGGATGCTATTCGCTCAAAACTAACAATAGCTCCTCAACCTGAGAAGTCGACTGTGGCTGGGAAAGTGGGCCAATCGATGAGAGACGCGTGAGCCGTCTCATTCTCTCATGTTTCTTTTTCTCTCAACGCAGCAACGCAGCCGCGGCCTCTGAAGCTGACCAACAAGCATAATATCAGCCCCTTCAGCTGACCGAATTGGACAACGGAATTGGCCCAGCGAACGTGCAAGCCATAGGGTGTGGGTATGCCTTCCGGGTGGCTTGGTAAAGAACTGGAAGTATCACGGCTCGGGGTCTTTGAAAAGACAAAATGACGAGGCAAAGTTGAACAACGTGTCGTGGAACCACAGAATAAGAAAACAAAGCGTCGGCCGACAAAAATAGCAATCAATAGCCCTTTATGATTATACAAGCTTTTATCTCTTTTGCGAATAACTTACCCGTTGCTAACCTCTACCACACTGCTTGAGGGCTTTGCCTTTTTCGCTTAGGCCTGACAACTGGGGTTGGAATATTGGTGGCGCCTTAAACTGAGTATTACTGTGTGGAAATAAGAAGCCTGTACGGAGTATGGTGTAGAAAAACAGGTTTAGGATAGATCAAAGACAGCGACAACTAATAATGACACTTTGTGATAAAAACAATGTAGTGTAAAGCCTATTTGAATTTGTCTCTTTATTCGTTTTAACGTTTTGCGCGTATTTTGTATTTTATTAATTATTAATTATTAATTATTTGTTTATTGTTTCTTATTTATTATTTTATCAATTTTATGGACGGAATGCACAAAATGTCACAAAATACAGCATCAAATAAGAGGAAACGAATAAAATACGATCATTATTTGTTCAGCGCTCCGTAAAATGGAAGTGAAAATATAAACGAGCTACGATCATAAACCGAACCAACCTCCACCTCTTCCTTTTGTGCAGTTGTCCTGAACCAGCACTTATTACCACGCCAATATATTATATTCGCTTGACGGTCGCCATTCCTTCTTTTATATTCCTCCCCCAATCCGCTTGAGGTGTGATACCCACCACGTCATTTGTGAATGCTGTTGTATAGCAAGATGCGCGCTTGGTGGCACAAGTGGAAACGAAGAAAATAAAACGAAAAGAGTGCGAAATCGAAAAAAAGAAGTTGCAATGCAGCTGGATAGCGAGGGATGCTGGCAGTAATAAAAAAGCAAAACGAAATGTTGGATGGCCTTAGTCATCCGTCAAGCTGCGACTCTCTGCGAAGAAAATCATAGACAAGGGGTATCTTCGATTCATGCAAATAAAACAAGAAAAATAATGTGCAGCAGGGGGAAGGCAGATGGTGCTTTTGCAGCTGCGCGTCCACCTTTTCCTTTGCGCGCACTGTCGTGTGTCGTTCAGCCTTGAGAGGAGGCTGCTGAGCCTTCATGCAGTGGGGCAGGTGCAACTCACAATAGAAGCACAAATCCGTCATGACCTTCAAAGGATGCCATGAGAAATAGAAAGCCGAGAAAAAAAACATGCAAGTAGGGCACCAAGGGGAGGGGTAAGGGCGTCGCAACAGTGCGACGTGACGCGTTTTCTCATCGTCTTTTTTTCTCCCCTTTTGCACCTTTGAGCCATCCACCTCTTTCATATCACACAGCGTCTTCACTGCCTCGTGTTGACGTCCCCTTCAAAGATGTCTGTTTCAACAGGAGAACATCTGATCCAATTCACTGTGCGTTACTCACGTAGCCAAATGCCGTAGCACAGTAAAAAGCAAGATAGCTGTAAACTGGGGGAGGGAAGAAGGAAGAGGCGATCAGAGCAAGACAACGAAATCGTTGCGTCTCCTCGCTTAGACAGTAATGCCCTCGAGGTGTGCGAGAACGCGACTGTCGTCGCCGAGGAACCTGCGCCGGAAGTCGATAATACCCTCCGCAATTTTGTCAAAATCGCGCTCATGGTCGTCGCGGAATTTCTTCAGCAAATTTTTGAGGCCGTCCACAAACCGCGCTTTTTGGTCACCCGTGTAGTCGTCGGACCGACCGAGTTCAACAAGAATTTGATCGTCTAATGGTCATGCCGAAAAGCGCGGAAAATAAAGAGCGGAGCGGAGAGAGTGAGAAAGGGAGGGACGAAAGAAGAAGCATAGGAGTACCATGACAGAGTGATGGAAGACTTACCTTTGGGCACAATAGATGCAATGTGTTGAAAACTGCACGACGGGTCCGAGCAGCTGTCGCCTAAAAATTCATTTGGGCAAAGCGCGATATCGTCCTGGATCTTACCACTGTACGTTAACGACCTGAAGCCGCCGGGGACCTGTGTCTTGTACTGCGGGTGGAAGCGGTATGACTCAAAGTACTGCAACGGGCTCTCGTATGGTGCAAATGTCGCCGTCGGCGGCTTTGCTGCCACTCTTGCTGGCGTCACCACCACATTCGAGTGCTGTTGCTGTGACTCCTCGTGGAACAGCTCTGCCACGGCGGCAACGCCCCCATCAATAGCGCTGTCGGAAGTCGAAACTCCGCCATCCTTTATTTCGTCATCCTCATCCGGTTCGCCCTCCCCATCCGATGCATTGTCCAGCATCTCGGTGTCGCCATCCGCATCGCTAGCGTTGGCAGAATCTGACATTTGAACTGGGTCCGACTCAGACGCAGCGTTGGACTGCGAGTTTTCTGCTTCTGCCCGAGCAACAGATAGCCCTACACTTGATTCGGCATCGCTCGGGGTGCCGTGGGATGGGGCATCACCTGCCTTTATCTCGCCCTCTTTTTCCTCCTCTTGCTGCCCAAGGCCATCTAATTGTTGTGAAGCGAGATCGACATCCGTCATCCTGCCAGCGTCATTGATGGGTTCGTCTGTCGGCGGCTGTGATTGGTGGGGTTGTACGCTCGCTTCGTTCTCAGTGGAAGCTTCTTCTTGCTCGCTGCCTAGGTCCTCAGCGTCCTCTGTCAACCGCCGCTTTTCAGCCACGCCTTCATCGATCTCGGCTTGAAGGGCTGCAACTCGTTCCTGAAGAAGGCGTAGTTTAAACATCTTTTCTTGGAGACTGGCTTCGACACGAGGCAGTTGTAGACTCGCCACACGCACCCGCTTCTCTCGGTGGCTTTCTTGAGAAGATGACGGCGACGGACCGCCAGTGCGTTTCGCTACACGGATAGGAGCTTCTTCCATTGGCGCCAGAGGGCTACCGGTGCTATCGTCCTTCCACAGCTCGCCGCTGGACGTTATCCGCCGAAGAGGCTGTGGAGCAGGCCGAAGCACTGGGTATGGGCTGTCGTTATTGCGGTTGCCGCTGGAGCCACCTTCAGATGGCGTTCTGTTGCCACCAGTCTGCGGCGTTAGAGAGCCTGCCGGCGACATCTGTGACTTTCTCGCCTCGGCCTCTGCTATCTTGCGCTTCATCTCTTCGATCTGCCGCATCTTTCTTGTATACTCGTCGTCCTTGGCCCGCGCTATCATACTCGCAGGGGCGGTCGGTGGTGCCGGCATCATAGGCGGAGCACGTCCTGCATACCCTCGAGGAGACGAATAAGAATGATCCGCCGGAGATTTGCGGCTAATCCCGTTTTTGCCAACATTGTCGTTGTATTGTTGCTCACGGTACAAGGTAGCACCGCCCGAACGTTGTTCATTGTATTGGCCTGGTCTCGAGTACGAATCATCGGCCTGTGAATCAAGTTCCATGGCCACATCTTCATCCGAATCATCGCTGACTTCGATGATCATCGACGATTCTTGCCGAACAGGAGCAGGTGGGCGTGTGGGTAGACTGTGCACCGCCGAGGAAGCAAAACCACCAAAGTCAGCTGCCATAGGACGTTGGCGGGAACCAGTGGCGGGAGAAGAAGGGAGGGTAGCAGAAATGGCAGCCGTCTTGTCTGCAATTTTTCCCACAATAGCCGCTGCAACATCACCCTGTTGTCCAGACACAGTGTTTGCGAGAGCTGTCGCCTCTGCGGCAGCTTTCGTTGCGGCAGCTGCACGCTTCTCTTGTGCCTGCCTAAGAGCTTCGAGCTTTTGTTGTAGCATGATTTCTTTCTGTGACTTGGGCTTGTCGGGCTTTGCAGCTGCGGCAGCAACAGGGGGCTTCGGAACTGGTGCGGGCGTTGGTTTCGATGCCTGGAGTGCGAGAAGACGCGCAATGCGGTCTTTGCGTTCTTCCTTGGGCGCCGTTTTGTCACCACCTGGTTCGGGTTGGGATGCCACCGGCTCAATAGACTGCGATGGCGAGGTTGATCTCGGCGAGGCTGAAACCGCTGCGGGGACCGCTTTCAGACCCAGCTCCGAGAAGAGGGACTGAATCAGTTTGCTATCGAATCCCTCATCGATATATGTCTGGTAATTGACGCCGTATGGGATTAGTCGCAGAATGGCTCTCTGTGCTTCTTTCTTGGCATCGTCCATTGTAGTGAAAATTAGGTTACTTGAGGGCATCGCTTGTTTTACAGCAATGGCCGCGTCCTTTTCGACTTTCGTCGTGACACCGCTCGCCGTCTCGTTTCCGACTGCAGTACCATCTGAGGTTACAATAGCGGCACCAACAGTTGGGCCAGCCGATCCGGAGCTGTCCTTTTGCAGGCTTTGTCGTGCTGTATCAGCATGGTCGCTGTCCTCAACCTCACCAGGGGAAAGGCGCGGCGAGTACGTAGCAGCACGCTCTTGGTCGGTGGCCCCGACAGACTTGGGTTCTGAATCGGAGTAACCCATGTCTTCATCGTCTGCGTCAGATTCATCGCCGTTGCCGCTAGATTTGATCTCACCAGGTTCATTGTCGTCATCATCGTCGTAAAAGGCGTCTTCTTGGGTATCAATAACACTAGCATCGCGGCTCGGCAAATCGGCGGCGGCGTGGCCAAGAGCAACTTGCGCAAAACTCTCTTCATGAGCCTCTTGAGAGACAGCCGAGCGAGAAGTCCTCGCACCTCCATTGCCCGTGGACCCGGACGTCTCTTCAGGTTCGTATCGATCTTCCATGTCTTCGCTGAGCTCGCCTTCCTCCGGCTCGCTCTCTCGCGTGGTCACGGTGGCTTCTGGGTTGTATGCAAGGCCTGTTGTCGAAGCGGCTGGAGGGGGAGCATAGCCTGCAGGCGAGTAGGCATGCTGCGGCGGCATCTGCTGCGGCGGTAGAGGTTGTGGTGGGCGCTGCTGGTGGTAGCTGTGCTGCTGTGTATGTACTTGTGCAAGGCCCGGATTGTATGGTGGGTGCGCAGAGGGTGTAGGTTGCGAAGTGGGAAATGCCTCGCTCCAGCTTAGGTCGCCACCCACCGCATTTGGGCTGCGCTCTTCCGGCAAAGCTACGGAGATGCCCAAGCCGGAAACCTGTGTATTTTGGTCAAACGCAGCTTGTGCGGACTGTACAGCTCCATAGTAGCTCTGCTGAGGCTGCTGCTGGTTAACAGCTCCTGGCGAAGGGATGGGGGGAGGCACTTGATACGGGTTGCCATTGTACATGGCCGGAGGAGGGTTGCTCGATGGCCGGTAGTCGTACTGCGGATATTGCTGTTGAAAAGCTACCGGGTGAGAACCTTGGGAAAATGGTGGCGGTGGCGCTTGTGGTGGCCACTGCCCATGGCCATAGGGATAGCCCGCCATTTCAGCTTGATGGAGCTCGCGCGAGGTCGATCAAGAAGCTGTCTTGTCGTGTGTCACCGTTTTCCGTCTACGATGCGTTGTTGTGGTTCTGAGTGAAAGCATGGGGCGCTGTTACCGGATGACGTGGGTGCGGAGGAAATGAAGTTTTGTTAAGACGAATTGCAGACACGGACAACAACCTGGCTGGTCGCTGGAGACTGGCTGCCTGTCAAGGCAGGAAGGAGCCAAAACGACACGAGTTGTTCCTTCCTAAGCAAAAATCCACCTATGTAGCAATAAGGGCGGAGACACCGCGAACATGAAGGGCACAAATGCGCGTGCGATTTCAAACACTGCGAAATCGAGGTTCAGAACGCGCGTTGAGTCGTGCAGTGCGATATGTCTGAGCAAGTCGTGATTTAGAAGACCGTGTGTTGTCCAGCGATTTCCTCGCGCCCCCCAAACAGTGCCCAAGATCGGTATATAATTAGAACGCGAGCTGTTGTAGTGAACCGGCCGGATTATCTAGTGTTCCGTGTTTGGTCGTGGCTCCCTTGTTAGGCTCACCCCACCCGGCACCTGCATCTCTGCCTTTCCTAATCTGGCTTTGTTGTGTTGTTGTCGTGGCAACCGGTGTGGGACAAAGCGCCTGTCTCGCTGGGCTCCGTCCCGCAGAATAAGGAAAGCGCGGGCCAAACAGTTCAGAAGGAAGGAACGCCAAACACGAGCAGGTGTGCATGCCATTGAGCCTCGACCACGACGCCTGAGAGGCTCTTTCTTTTGGATTCTTTAATTCTTGAATTCTTCAATCTCTAATTCCTCATATTTCCTAGATACACTTGTTTCTTGCAACGGCGCGACGTCTACGGTCACTGTATGGTTGACCGTGCCTCGCGTTATTGTTGACATTGCGCTTTCCTTTCTATTTTTCTGTTCTGTCTGCACTTTCAGCAGCATATTGTGTCACGACTGCAGCACGACGACACGCTCCCGACGACCTTTCGAGCGTCCTCGACAAGTTCCTCCAACGTTCTGCCGGCGGATGTTGCCCTCAGAGGAACGCTGACCCGTATTCCGACCGTCAGCACACCCCAACACCTACTACAACGCCACGTCGCCCGCAATGGTGACTGGGCCTTCCGGGTTCTCTGCGCAGCAGCGTAGCAACCCTTTTGCCCGCACCCCGTCAGCCTCGCCGGCGCCTGGTAACAGCAGCGTCGCCGGCCGGCCCAAATCAGTCCTCTTCTCAACGCCTGCACCAACATCCCCCGCACGGCCATCACACAGTCGCTCTCAGTCACAAGCAACACCGTCTGGCATGAACGGCCTTGTTAGGTCGGGGAGCGTCTCGCGGAATGGCTACGATCGTTCCCGCGAGGGCACTCCTGCCTCTGGCACCTTTGCCCCTTCATTCATCAAGACCGAGGAGATGAAGCAGCGCAGCATTGACGTCGTCCGTGGTATCGAGGGCGAGAACGACTTCTCAGGCAAGCGATATGTCTGGCTGAAAGACCCGCAGACTGCCTTTGTCAAGGGCTGGATCGTTGAAGAGCTGGGACCTAATCGCATTCTCGTGCAGTGCGAGGATGGCAGCGTGAGTTTTCCATCACCGGGCGTGTATAGAGTGACTACAACATGCTAACTTGTGCGTTCAACTTGTAGCAGCGCGAGATCGATGCGGAGAGCGTCGACAAAGTGAACCCCGCCAAATTCGATAAGGCGAACGACATGGCCGAGCTGACGCACCTCAACGAGGCCTCTGTCGTGCACAACTTGCACATGCGGTACCAAGCCGACCTCATCTACACATACTCGGGCCTCTTCTTGGTCACTGTCAACCCCTACTGCCCGCTCCCGATCTACTCGAATGAGTACATCAACATGTACAAAGGCCGTAATCGGGAAGACACGAAGCCGCATATCTACGCCATGGCCGATGAGGCGTTTCGGAACTTGGTCGACGACGGTGAGAACCAGAGCATCCTCGTCACGGGCGAGTCTGGCGCTGGTAAGACGGAAAACACCAAAAAGGTCATTCAATACTTGGCTGCCGTGGCCCACAGCGACACGCCGACTGGCAAGAGTCGGGGCTCACAGCATTCCAACCTCTCTGCCCAGATCCTACGCGCGAACCCGATCCTTGAAGCGTTTGGTAACGCGCAGACCGTCCGCAACAACAACTCTTCCCGCTTCGGAAAGTTCATCCGTATCGAGTTCCACAACAATGGCTCCATAGCTGGCGCCTTCATTGAGTGGTACTTGCTCGAAAAGTCGCGCGTCGTCCGCATCAACAGCCAGGAGCGGAACTACCACATTTTCTACCAGTTGCTCAAGGGTGCTGACCGCCGCCTGCGGCAAGAGTTGTTGCTGGACAGCATGGGTGTCGAGGACTTTGCCTATACTCGCGAAGGCAATGATGTCATTAGCGGTGTCTCGGACCAGGACGAGTGGGAGTCTCTGATGGAGGCTTTCTCGATCATGGGCTTCTCAGAGCAGGACCAGACATCCGTTCTCCGGACAATAGCGGCTGTGCTGCATCTCGGCAACATCACTGTCATGAACGAAAGCCGCGGTGCCGATCAGGCACGCTTGGCGCCGGACGCCAAGGTCCACGCCGAGCGTCTCTGCAGACTTCTCGGTGTCCCTGTTGAGCCTTTCCTCAAGGGCTTGCTGCACCCCCGCGTGAAGGCAGGCCGTGAGTGGGTTGAAAAGGTGCAGACGCCCGATCAAGTGCGCCTCAGCATCGACGCCTTGGCAAAGGGTATCTATGAACGCGGATTCGGTGATCTTGTGACACGCATCAACCGTCAGCTCGACCGCGCTGGCATAATGGGCATGGATGACTCTCGTTTCATCGGCGTACTCGATATTGCTGGTTTCGAGATTTTTGAGGAGAACAGCTTCGAGCAGCTTTGCATCAACTACACCAACGAGAAGCTGCAGCAGTTCTTTAATCACCACATGTTTGTTCTCGAGCAGGAGGAGTACGCTCGGGAGCAGATTGAGTGGCAATTCATTGACTTTGGCCGCGACCTGCAACCGACCATTGATCTCATTGAGTTGTCTAACCCGATTGGTATTTTCTCGTGCCTCGACGAAGACTGTGTCATGCCCAAGGCCACAGACAAGTCCTTTACCGAAAAGCTCAACTCTCTCTGGGAAAAGAAGTCGACCAAGTACCGACCATCACGACTGCGGAATGGCTTTATCCTGACGCATTACGCCGCGGAAGTCGAATACTCAACCAACAACTGGCTGGAAAAGAACAAGGACCCGCTGAATGACAACATTACCCGACTTCTCGCCGCTTCCACAGACAAGCATGTCGCCAGCCTGTTTGCAGACTGCGCTGACCAAGACGATGAGCTTAGTGCTGCCGCCGTCGGTCGGAGCAGCCGAGTCAAGAAGGGCCTTTTCCGCACTGTAGCCCAGAGACACAAGGAGCAGCTTGCGCAGCTCATGGCGCAGCTGCATTCAACACACCCGCACTTTGTCCGCTGTATTCTGCCGAACCACAAGAAGCGTCCCAAGCAATTCAACAACCTCTTGGTCCTGGACCAGCTTCGTTGCAATGGTGTTTTGGAGGGTATTCGTATTGCCCGAACCGGTTTCCCGAATCGTCTTCCATTCGCCGAATTCCGTCAGCGGTATGAAGTTCTCTGCCGTGACATGCCAAAGGGTACCTACTTAGAGGGCCAGGCGGCGGCTGCCATGATCCTTGACAAACTTGGTATGGATAAGGCTCTCTTCCGCATTGGTCTCACCAAAGTCTTCTTCCGCTCTGGCGTTTTGGCCGAGCTTGAAGAGCAGCGTGACGCTCTGATCAACGAGATAATGTCTCGCTTCCAGGCTGTGGCACGCGGCTTCAGCCAGCGCCGGATTGCCTACAAGCGTCTTTATCGTGCCGAGGCGACACGCGTTATCCAGCGCAACTTCCATGCTTATCTCGACCTTTGCGATAACCCTTGGTGGCAACTGCTGGTCAAGATGCGGCCCTTGTTGGGTGCAACCCGCACGGCCACCGAGGTCAAGCGTCGCGATGAGACCATTCGCCAACTCCAAGACGAGATGCAACAGCATGCGGCAAGTCGCATGAAGCTGGAAGACGACCGCCGTGCTACTCTGGCGGAAATGGCCCGCATCCAGCAAACACTGGAGAGCGAGCGCGCCCTGGCTCTGGACAAAGAGGAGATCTTTAAGCGCCTGCAACAGCGCGAGTCCGAGCTTGAGGATAAGCTTGCTGGCGCCCTCGATGACCAGGAACGCCTCGAGGACCAGCTTGACGATCTCCTGGATGCTAAGAAACGTGCTGGAGACGAAGTCGAGAAGTACCGCATGCAGCTCGAACAGGCCGCTGGCATTATCGCGCGCCTTGAAGAAGAGAAGAAAGAGCTTGCACAGCAAATCACCGACCTCGAGCGGACCATGGAAGATGCGGCGCAAAAGCAGTCTGAGCGCAGTGAGCAGGAAATGGTTCTCGCTGACGAGGTCAAGATGCTCCAGAGCCAGCTTTCCATCAAGGATCGCAAAGTGCATGATCTTGAGGGCCGCCTGCTTGCGGTCGACCAGGATGCCGTTGTGAAGCTCGCCGCGGCACAGAAAGAACTCCAGGCGTCGCGGTCCAAGGAACAACGACTTGCCATGGAGAACCAGGACGCCCAGCAGCGGTTAGCACAGCTGTCTCAGACGTCGACGGACTACGAAGATCTCGTGCGGCAAAAAGAAAGCGAGCTTGCCCTCCTGCGCAGCGACAACAAGAAGTACGAGGCGGAGCGCCGGTCGTTCGAAGAACACCGCCGCTTGCTCGCTGCCGAGAAGGAGAAGGCCGCATCCCGCCTTCGTGAAGTACAGGCTGAGATCGTTGCAATGCGCTCCCAAGAGTCGCAGTTCCGTCGCGAGGCTGAGGATGCCAAGAAGCTTCTTGAGGCACGCCTCTCTGAGGATGCGCAGGCAGACCAGAACCGCCGTGTTCTGGAATCTCAGATCAAGGATCTCAAGGAGGAGCTTTATAAGATCCAGAT